ACGAAGGGATGCCGGACGCACTGAAACATGCATGCGTCAAAGCAACGCAGGGCGGCGCGGGCCTGCGAGAAAATAGAGAGTTTTAGTACTGCGGAATGGTGCTACGTACGCATCATGCACGCGCCTTGCGTTACGTGGCGTCGTTTGCCACTAATCGCCTTTTAGTACGCCGTAGTACCCGCGTACGTAACGAGTGTGAAGCGTGTTGCACCATCTGGTATATCAAAATAGAAGCACGTGTTGTTGACAGCCAATGTGAGCCAATCCAAGTGTTATAGCCAGATTATGGCCATATTTTAAGCCAGAGAGCCGGTCGGTGCTTGCCTTCGATGCCACCATTTTGCAAAACGAAGTCTCGCGCTGTCGTGAACTTGTTCGAAAGCGGCGCGATCAGCTCATACGTACGCACGCACGCATCTCATGCGTGCGTACGTAGCAGCTGCGTACGTAACGCGATACGTGCGCGTTGCAGTCTGCGCATGCGCACTACGCAGTACGTGGCGTCCTTACGTACACAACGCCGCCATGTACGCAGCGTACGCAGTACTAAAACTCTTTAATGGCAGGACCGCCGCCTGGCGTGGCAACGCCGGCATGACACGACGAAATCAACGCTGGGGAGCACGCGCAGCGCGTCACGTCGAAATGTATTGGCCCCTTCACTGTGGCATGTAGTCATGTTCTCACATGACATGCATCTCATGATTATCATGTTTGCACCAGTCACACACCTTCGTCATTCATTGGCGTCGCGTAATACCAAATTGGGCATATGTGAAGCTAGCGAATATGGCCGCGACCGCATCATCAGTGTTCCATGTAGTCAAGTTGTTACATGACACGCATGTCGTGATTATCAGTTTGGATGTGTCATTTATTTATGTCGTCTGTTCGCGCAGCGTAATAACGAGTTTGGTAGATGTGCAGCTAGCGAAACGGCCACCACCGCATCGTGAGCGTGGCATGTAGTATTTGGTTACATGACACGTATCTCATGATACCTGTCAGTGGAGAAACTAACAGGTTATGAGTTCGTTTTTTAACTTTTAACGTCGAAAAGAGACCTCATTAGCATTTCATTGAGTGTGCCTCACACTTGGATCATAGGTGATCATATAGAGCTCAGCACGATCCTGGCAGCTCTACATGCTGGTCACTGAGACATGGTACATATGAAGATGTGCGCAAGGAGCTGCGTATGTATATTGGCCCAAAATCTACAAAGTTATTGAGAAAACAACACTACAGTGCCATAAATGCTTTCATGTTGAGAGTTTGTATTCCTTGAACTATAAAAAAGAAAGTTGAGATCTTAGTTTATGATTTCAAGTTTTTTTGAGTAACGAGTAGTTGGGCCCGTAGAAAAACTGCATTGTCATAACAATGCAACGTACCTTCTTCGGATGCTCTTCGAAGTCCGGTCACACCAGTCATGATGTTTTGATGTTTGCAATTTATGATGTTTGCACCAGTCACATACCTTCGTCATCCATTCACGTACTTTAATAACAAATGTGGTATATGAGACGCTATGTCATGTTGTTACACGACGCGCATGTCAAGATTTTCATGTTAAGGTCTGTCGCTTGTGTTCGCCATGCAATCATGCCATACCATACCAGTTTTGTAACATGCCATGTGAACGAAACCACCGCAAAAGCAGCAAGACCACGAAATGTAAACCATGAGATTCATGACATGCATGTCATGATTTTCGTGTTATGACCATTGAAATATGTTCATACATTCATGTTATGCCATACCATTATTGAAACGGCCACAAGAGCTAAAAGTCGTAGATGGCTAGATAGATAGATAGATAGATAGATAGATAGATAGATAGATAGATAGATAGATAGAAGATAGATAGATAGATAGATAGATAGATAGATAGATAGGTAGGTAGATAGATAGATAGATAGATAGAAGATAGATAGATAGATAGATAGATAGATAGATAGATAAGATAGATAGATAGATAGATAGATAGATAGATAGATAGATAGATAGATAGATAGATAGATAGATAGATAGATAGATAGATAGATAATAGATAGATAGATAGATAGATAGATAGATAGATAGATAGATAGATAGATAGATAGATAGATAGATAGATAGATAGATAGATAGATAGATAGATAGATAGATAGATAGATAGATAGATAGATAGATAGATAGATAGATAGATAGATAGATAGATAGATAGATACGCTCAAAGTCGCCGAAGTTCACTCTGAAATTATTCGCATTTGAAAGGAAAGAAGGAGACGAAGTGAATGATTTCGAACCGATCATTGGCTTTAGTGGCCACATAGACTTTCTTTGAGTTGCCTGTTTTTTGGTCACAAACTCGGCCTAACCACTTGATTTAATTGAAGTGTACCGTTTCATTGTGTGTTACAATATGTATTCGCTTAAATTCTCTAGTTGTTGTGTTTTGTGCACACTTCCTGTACCCTCACATTTACAGCCATTACGGCCAGCAGTATTTGGTAACAAGTAAAATCTAGGGATGTTCACGAGAATTTCGTATTGACTCAACAAAGACAGAAATTAAAGATATCAAATAAAACAAAGCTAGTAAAAGATCAGATATGGAGCCTAACACGTGGAAAAATTTGCAAGTATGAATGAAAGAAAAGTTTCTAGTCTTGGGAATATTTACAAAAAAGGGGTAAATACAACGGTGCACCAGGCACAAATTAGTGTTCATCGAATAGAGAAAATATTAAACTAAAAGAAGAAACCTTGATTTACATTTTGTTGAAAAGACTCGTGTGCCCATAATACTTGAATAGAAGACTTAAAAAAGATGCAGTCAATAGTAGAATAATATATAAGACAACAGAACCGAATTCAGTGAAGCAAATATGGAAGAAACAACCGCATTCATCAACTGGCTGTTTTGCTACTTTTGATGTAATATGTCTGAAGCCCTCGTTTTTTTTTTCCTAAAATGTTCAACTATTCACACTACTGAGTAGTAGAATAATATGTATGCCTACAGAAAACCAAAATCAGTGGAGCAAATATGGCAGAAAAACAAAACACATTCATCACCTGCCCACTTTTCTATTTCTGATGAGATATGGCCAAAGCACTCGTTTTTTTTTTCTTTTCCGTCCTTAAGTATTCAACTATATACATCACCTTATACGTCATTTGCTCGCTGTTAGGAAACAAATATTAGTAATGGGCACGCAGCAACTTTGAATTCATTAGCTGCTAACACGTGCTCCTCTCATGACATAGTTGCAACCTTGTTCTCAAGGAAGCATTCCACCAGTAATAAGTAATGGTAAACGTGAGTTAGGTATACCACAGACTCTTACTATACTTTTCATCTGAGATATTTTACACACTCCAAAATACATCAAATACATGAACATTTAGTTTAAAAAGATCCTATCTTCTATTCACAGAGAAAAAAAAGACTTCTTATTCCTAAATTGCCCCGCCACGGTGGTCTAGTGGCTAAGGTACTCGGCTGCTGACCCGCATGTCGCGGGATCGAATCCCGGCTGTGGCGGCTGCATTTCCGATGGAAACGGAAATGTTGTAGGCCCATGTGCTCAGATTTGGGTGCACGTTAAAGAACCCCATGTGGTCAAAATTTCCGGAGCCCTCCACTATGGCGTCTCTCATAATCAAATGGTGGTTTTGGGACGTTAAACCCCACAAATCAATCAATCAATTTCTCCTAAATTGTATTTATTTGATTATAGCAATATGGTGTACCACTGCATAAGCTGAAAGATGTAATCATCAAATGAACGGTCAGATATTCAGTGTTTCTTTTCTTTTTTTTAACTTTAATGCGGCAGCATATATTCCACAGTTCCTGCAGCTTCTTTTCTATTTAAATGCGAAGCATTTCTTAGCGACCGTCGGTGACTTTGTGCGTATCTATCTATCTATCTATCCATCTATCTATCTATCTATCTATCTATCTATCTATCTATCTATCTATCTATCTATCTATCTGTGTATCTATCTATCTATCTATCTATCCGCTTACGTTTGGGTGCTCTCGTAGTCACCCCCTTAACTTGGCGTGAACCAAAATTAGCATGGAAGGGTAAGATGGTTTGATGAATATGACGCGCTTGTCAAGACACGAATAATATCCGAATCACGTCGCGTACGTCGTCAAACACTTCCGGCCAGACAGTGGCACATATCCAGGAGCGGGTATGTCCCACTGGTATGTGGGAATATGCTATGGGTGATTGACACTTGGTATCTACTCAGAAACCACGAAAACACACGGGAGCAATTTTAACGCGCGAGTTTAAGATAAACGCGATATCCGTAGTGTCGACCCGACGAATTCAGAGAATAAATTTCAGGGTCCCATCTGGAATCGAACCGGAGCATCCTGCGTGGCAATGAATTTTACCACCAGGTCTCGGAACTACTCTTCAAATAGATGCTAGTCTTCGTAAAACGTCCATAGTGGTTGCAGTGCTGCTTGCCCACTTTTAAAAACATTACGTATGCTTTAATACAGCCGTCACGTCGCATTATTGGTATTGTGGTTAGTTGCCATACGCTGAAGTTGATTTATGTAGCACTGTCCAATGTCAGTGTCCAAGCGAGTATAGGCGCTTCATATCGGCTTCTGGTGTGGCTATTGCACATTGCGCAAGTGCAAACAACTCGATATATAAATATCTGCGGCTCTTCAACGTATTTCTCTGTGTGCAACAATTGTACATATATTTACCGTCATGAACTAAATAAAAAAATTGTCGCTCAATAAAAAATTGCAACAAGGTTCCTCCGAATGCTTCGCATAATTTCGATTCCCAGGTACGTGGGATCTGCCGAATTTTTTCTATTAATTTTTTTTACTTAACATACATTACAATGCTCCACATTGTTCTTGCTTTGTCAGCTTCGAAAAGCTTCATAACCAGCTGTGGTTCGGTCACAATAAAACTAAACAATGACTTAATGAAATATATCGGAATAGTTGTCTGTTGTCATTTCATTGCAATAAAGGTAAGCAGGAAGTTCGAAACTCGATAAACTGCGATTGGAGATCAACCGTTTCAAAGAGCTCCCCGAACACCGCCGCGAAATGAAAGTTTTCGTCGTTCTTTGCCTTCTTTCAACCGGTGAGATGTTTCGTCTAGTTTATAGACAGCCAGGTGACTTGCCTGTTAATTTATTTATACACTTCATTCATGTTTATTGGGTGAATCAATTGTTGTTTCTTAACATTTTCTGTGGTCTATCTTTGTGTTAGTTTATTTATGAAGAGCCGTATCATTATACTATGCAACATCTAGCAGCAGTCCAAACGGTTGTTAAAGCCGTGGCATAATGAAATCTTCCGAAGTTCAAATTGGCTAATAGAAAGCTTTGGACTGCACCAGCGAATCTATGAAACTGTGAAAACAGGGAGTATGCACAGTTACCGAGGTAAGCGCACTATTTATTTTGTTGGTACATTATTAGGAGCACTTCCATTATTCTGTATTGTTTCACCAACACGCGTATTATGAATTTAAAAGATTACTTTAAAAAGAACTTTGGTCAAGATGCAAATACGAAACAAACTGATTAAGGTTGTTTTTCTTTTCGTCTGTTCTCTCTTACACACAATCGTGTTCTCTGCGAAATATATTTCGCGACGTAACGTATGCTGTCAGGCTAGTTGGTGTGTAACGGTGCACAAACATCGTTGGCGCAAACTTAAAAGACAAAAGGAGAGACCCGAAAAAGCTCACTTTTCCGAGTCTCTTCTTTTGTCTTTTAAGTTTGCGCCAACGATGTTCAGCACATATTTCGCGACCGATATTAAGGCAAATAATTCATTTCTCTGAGTAGCTGGTGTAGTCTCCGCTTCACGTGGTGGTCTAACCCAATAGGCACCTTTCTGTACTTTTTGTCGACATTTCTTTTTCATAATGTATCTGCGTCATCTTGAGCTGAGCCACGAAGTTACCAGTTTAGCTGATAATAGGCAGAATCGGACTTCTTTTTTAAAAACATCATAAAGTAGCTTATAGATTTTTTTCCGTCACTGGGCACAACTTTATGGTTATTCTCTTTCTGTGAGTATTTAGTGCTTATCATGCTCACTATAACTCGTTTAATATTCATTGATTGCGTGTTTGTTAATAAATTTGCGTAGTTGAATGTTCCAGTCAAATATACACTGGAGGAATAAAAAACAGAGGTTGCCTAAAGAAAGTGGAACACGTGCTTTCAACTTAATAAAGATAATTCAGAATTTGTTGTTACAATGTAAATATGTGCCTTCGTTTGTATTATCCTAAATAGGCTGTACAAAATTGTAATAATACTGATTGTTGGCCTAGTTGGTATTTACTTAATGGCATGATTTGGCCGCAAAAGAGACACACACAAGAAAAGGAACACTCAAACGACAAGCACAGGCGGCACTTCCAACTAAAGCAGACTAGGTGCAGACCCAGACCCAGAAGCAGGTACAAAACTGCGCGTGAGCTGATGGAAGCCTATTACATTAAAAAGAAAGGTGAAAGGTGTATCAGCGAACCGTCGGTGACGTTGTATGCTTCGGAGACAAGATTGTTTGATTGTTGGATAGCGTAAGGCTGTATGAAGACTGCGCATGTCTATATTTTCGTACTTAAGTCTGGGTCTGCACCTAGTCTGCTTTAGTTGGAAGTGCCGCCTGTGCTTGTCGTTTGAGTGTTCCTTTTCTTGTGTGTGTCTCTTTTGCGGCCAAATCATGCCATTATGTACAAAATTGTTAAAGCAACTTATTCACTTCCTTTTCGCATTCCTGTGTCTCTTTTTAATGACTTTTTTTATGTGCGAGAAAGTTATCAAACATGCGCCTTTTACGGCTTCTTTGTGAAAGTTGCTAAGTATCAACGAGATAGCGGTAAAGATAGATCTTGTTTCGCAAAAATTCTGCCGCAAGCATCGTTGGTTGTAAGCGAAAAATCACCATCTTGTTCGTGACCGAAAAATTCAGAAAGATGCAAGTACAATAAATTATGAAAATTTCCGAGTACGAGGGAAGACTGAAGGCCGTCTGCTTGGAAAGCAGGTGCTCTACCACGGAGCCACACTGTTTGTTGAAACTGCTTTAGAAAAAAACACTACGGGAATGTCATGTAGTGGGTGTCTCATTAACGCATCATATATTGCGTGGCAGAAGCGGGAAATCCCGTCAGATGTCAAAATATGTGAACAGAACAACGAGTGGGTGTTTTGAAAACACACACAATCAAATGCACTTAGACATACTTAAACATCATCAGCAAAAGTACAAAGTGAGCAGCTGCGTAGGTTCACAATGATTAGATTCTTTTGTCAGCTCTGTAACATCGTGTCTCTCTGCTGCGCTCCTTTAGTTCTACGCCTTTGTTTTTCATGCATCGTGCATGACCTTTTTATAGCTTATTAAGGCATAATATTTAGTTTTCTCAATTACCCGGTATAGTTTTCTGATTATCTGTATGTGTTCTACTCACAGCTGCGCTGACGGCTGCGGCAAGAGCTGGTCGTCTCGGAGGTGACGTTGAAGCAAATGGCAGAATAGGTGGTCGCCTGTATGCCGGCGTCGAGAGAGTGGGTCCACGTGGATTTCCAGGGTTCACCGCCTCAGTCGGAGGCGAACTAGGCGCACACCTGGGTGGAACTGCCGGCGTGGGTGTAACCAGATACGGCTATGGTAATACCTAAATATGATATGTTTTCGCAGAGTGAGTTAACATTGCTGACTACACTTTTAAACCATTCACTCTACGAATATGAGGATCCGGGTTCACTGACACACGCGCTTGTTACACGCTTATCATCATTTATATCGGAAAGTCATTAAGCCTTATAAACACGCTGCGTGCAGCGAAAGACAAATGCTAGGCATCAAATAATAGCTATGCAGTGCTGTTGTCTTTTTGATCGGTGACGCCTAGAATGGCAATTTCAATAAAATAACTCGCTTCCTCCTTCTGCCTTCATACTCTACCCACAAACGTTTTTTTTTTTCTTATTTCTTGTCGTAAAACAAAATAGTGTAGAACGGTATAAATACCTCTTACGTTCAGGTCTTGTCATTTTTTTAATGCATTCACAGACGCAAGAAATTTTTTGCCAGTGAAGCTTCAGCGAGTGTTTCACTGCCATGCGAGTAATTTATACATTTTCAGGATCGCGCATACTATGCAGCTCATTGCACAAAAAAATCACATTTGATGACATGAAATGAAGTGGCAGGAGTTTTTAATAGGTACTGAGGAAAGGTTATTTCGAGAGCCGCACCTCCAACCCCTCTTTACAGAATAAATCAGTGGATCTGCCCACGATGAGAACGCATACGACGGGATATCGTCTTCCGGGCAGCCACTGATGCTGGTAAAAAAAAACTTGGGAGACACTTCATAGAAGCTGCAAAGAAGTTGTGACGTTAAAAGAGGTAGATAACCGTAAAAAGCGTGTGCCTATTTGCAAAATGCCACCAAATTCAAATGTCACCATTACTTCAATTATTAATTTATTACAAAATAAGTTTATTCACTTGTTTTAGCGAAATAAAGGTAGAAATATAGAGGTATTAGGAGTTCAAATAATATTGTTGAGCTTGGTAGCAAGAGTAATTCAGTCATGAGACCCCAAAACGATTCTATCTTTTACACATCAGTACGGCATGGTCTTTTTTATGGATAGTGCTCAAAAATCTACTCCTAAGCTAACATTGTGCTTTGTATAACAATGGTTGTTCAATTTACAGTGCTTTTGTTTTGCTGGGTCTCTTTTATTGCTTTTTTGGGGAGGGGGAGGCAATCTTTCCTTTTTTTATTTACAGAAATCAGGCAACCACCACGTTAGGTAACCTAATTCATAAACAACATATGATAGTGCTAGCTAGTCTGACATATAAACATATCTTGTGCCTTTTCTTGCATGATTTGTTGTGCCATGTTCGCAATGCAAGAAATTACTCCTTTTGCTGTAACCTCTCTAGACAAAAGCCTTCAGTTAGCTTCCATAACTACTTCCCTCCTGTGATTATTATTTGCCCGTAAATAGTTGCTGTAGCTATGCATTCCCTTGATATTAGAGAAATTCCTACAAATCTTTGACGAACTGCAGACTTTTTTAGTTCATTCATTGATATCGGCTTTACAAGACAACCTGCCATAATCACAACACACTGGGCCAATGGTTAACGAGCTTATGGCGCAAAGAAACACCATATAAGGACAAGCACGATCGCAATTAAATGAACCAACTCGCCCAACAAGTCACTCTGCGGGTCTATTGATCTGTGTTGCAGGCAAGATAAACTCTAGGACCCACACGATAACTCACGTCTGGGCTGTTCTTTCTTTATTATGTACTTGTATGATATATTATTATTATTATTATTATTATTATTATTATTATTATTATTATTATTATTATTATTATTATTATTATTATTATTATTATTATTATTGCTGTTGTCTTTGTCGCTGTCATCGTTTTCATTGTTGTTTCACAAATAAACATCCACAATCGCAAACAAAATGAAGAAAATAATGAAGGAGCAGACTCAAAAGTACCGTCGCAACGTGTACTCTTTAGGGAGCAGTTAATACCGTATAAGTAAAAAAATCTAGAAACAATGACAAGTCTAAAGAATCCATCATAGCAGTGAGAGCACGCACGTAAAGTAGCGAGCAGAAAAAAAAATCATTGCATTCGAACGAAACACCCAATATCTGGAAAAGTATCTTCACTGAACATGTGCAAGATACTCTCAGCAGTTGGTAAAAAGTAAACATGGCTACGATGTTATGTATTTGTTTGTGACCTCAAAAAATAAAACTCGCTAAGGAATTTTTTCGGTGACGAACACTGAAAGAAACCAAGATTTTCAAATTTTAAACAATCAGTTGAATGAAACAGTTCATTTTCGAAAATATTAGGAAGAACCTTATGGCCCTATGTTGCATGTTGAACCTTCTTCCTTCTTCTTTGCCGTAGGTTATCCTAACTGGGGCAATCCATATGGCGGATACGGTGGATATGGTGGATACAGCGGATACGGCGGATATGATCAGGGCTTTGGCTCTGTATACCCCGGCTATGACTACTACTACCCATATGGCTACGGGGGTGGCTACGGGAGTGGCTACGGGAGTGGCTACGGTGGGGGCTACGGCGGTAGCTATGGTGTTAGCTATGGTAGTAGCTCCAGCTTTCCCACCTCGAGTGCTTCAGCTGGTGGCACCACTTCGTAAGGATGTCTTTTCAGTTCACAACTCGGCTAACGACAAGAATAACGAGATCCCCTCCCCCTCAAAAAATAGTCATTTCCAGCGTTTGCAAAGAGATAGCCCTTGACTAAATTAGCTAAGAAGATGAATCTGAACTAGTTGATAGTCGTTTTATTAGCATGTTAAGAGAGAAGACGAGAAGAGTTCTGCGTAACTTCTCGAAACTATTGAAGACCGATGATGTTTTAATGGTGTTCATAGCTTTTTACACGCTTTTATATGCAAAGTTGTGCAAGCATGGAGACGTTTTAAGTCATGCATGACTTATGTAGCAAAATGTAATTTCCGACACAAACAATACCAAGTAAAAGCGATATCTCTATGCCAAAAAGTACATTTTATGTTTTTTCGTAGTTACTGCGTTAGAACAGCCCTATTTGTACCCAGCCAACCTACAAAATGAAATTATCACTTCATGAATATTCTAGCGTGGTCGTGTTAATGTTGTGTGAATCGTAGCAAGCGGCTTATTTAATCGTTTGTGGACGCCAAATGGTGAAATATTCTTGACCAAAATGCCCATTTAAGATTGTCTGCCTATTAGATATTTGCCATGGCTTACATTAATGTATGCTGAAACTACAATTTATTTAACGTATTCAGTTAGGTGGCCATGCATTCCTTTTCCGTGTATTTTCCTTTTTTCAGAGCTCGTTCTTCAGCGTCACAATAAAGTACCATGGATCACCCTATCCAGAAATACCGACGTTTTACGAAGCGTACGTGATGCACAATATGTAGTGTGTGTGTGTGTGTGTGTGTGTGTGTGTGTGTGTGTGTGTGTGTGTGTGTGTGTGTGTGTGTGTGTTTGTGAGCACGTGCGTGCGTGCGTTTGTGTGCGTGTGCGTGCGTGTGTGTGTATATGTGTGTGTGCGTGTGTGTGTGCGTGCGTGTGTGTGCGCGTGCGTGCGTGTGTGTGTTTGTGTGTGTGTGCGCGTGCGTGCGTGTGTGTGTTTGTGTGTGTGTGTGTGAGTGAGAGAGAGAGAGAAAGGGAAAAGCATGCCACGCCTGAGTGTGTTTTTTCTTTTTTCTTTCAGGTTTTGGTACCCACCAACAAGAAATTTCGCAGCAAAATACTAAGAACTGCAAGTTATTCTGTGTACTTGCGTTTTCGGCAAGTTTTACTCCATCATGTTCGCCTTGAAGCGTACTTATCAGGCAAATTGAATTACACTATTCACCGTACACTGTACAATAAAACCACAAGACAGCCATCAAACACTTTTCATGTTTCATTGTGACCGCAAATGTGCACAACCTCTAAGCTGAAATTCGTCAACTCTGGGATGTTCTGCGTGAAGTATACGGCCAATAATATTCCTGCACACAATACACAGCAATTACTCCAGTCCTAGCTAGCATGGCTGGTAACGTTAGCTCGAAGTTTCGAAGGTGCGTTGAAGCGAGAGCCAATACGCTGGAACCTGAGCCTTGAACTTAGGCCTTCTGCGCAGCAGGCACTGTCCTACCTCATCTACGACACTCATCAGAGCTGCTTAGGATAAGCTTAATATGAATGCCATGTAGTGCGAGGAGTCTACAAGTTATGTAATATATCGTAACAGAAGGGTAGAAACGTCCTCCTCCTCATCAGTAAAAGCATCAGAAAGGAAGCAGTGGCGTATATCGCGTGTTGCCCAACGGACGCGTATACATAGTGGGCCCTTCACTGACTCGCAAAAGGAAAAATTGTGTGCAGTGGGAACGGCAGGATAATATGTACGTTTAGTAGGCAAGGATAGTTTATATCGGGCAATGTTTTGTCCCTGGATGCTAGTTTCCTTGCGGCAACATTGATGCTTAACAGTACGCTATGTTGTTACATCGTTACTTGAAAGCCTTGGCACAAACTTAAAATAAAAAAAAAGAAGCGACAAAAACAGCATCAACTGCCACTCTTTTTGTCTTTGTTTTATTCTTCTCGATCCAACGTTTGTAGCAGATACCTACAGCCGAAGCTTGGCTATGAATTGAGAAATTTATGTGCGTGGGGCCCGCTTACACCATCAAAATCAACTCTAGAAGGCGAGTCTCAAGCGTCCTCCCAATTTTAAGTCATGCTGTCGAATACTACTGAAAATTCACTGACAAATATTGGCTCACTAAGGGGTTTTTGTAATCACAGGCTCCGAAAGAGAAAAGTTAGGAACGTTAGCCGAAAAAGCGCATGGTCGGAAGTGAAATCTTGATAGTTGGTTCAAAAAATCGATTTAAGCACCTCTTCAGTATTCAGTCGCTCTTTTAACACGCAAGAAGTTTACCCCAGAGTCCACCAGAAACTCAGTGACGTATTTTGGTCACGGATATGACGTTGATATAATGTATGCCACAAAATGACAAAAAACAGAATAGTAAGAAAAACTTCCCGCACCAGCCGACGAACCTCCGGCTCCTTGGCCCGCGACGCGTAGTGTATGGTGCGGCACCACCTCAGCTTTCACGCAAGAAGTGAAGCGCCGTACAAAAGCGCGCTTCTATTTCTCACACATTCTCTCCCACAGTGCTCTCTGTTGCCGATTGAGCTGTTGCTGACGTCTGTGAGTGATGACGAGAAGTAAAACGGCATGACACGTTCCAGCGCCAATAGGGAGAGATTCGTCAAAGACACCGAAAGCTTGGCTTCCGGGATTATGCACCAGCTCACAATATCAGAGGCCATGGCTAAAGCGTCTCTGTAACAGCATCAAATGTGCTTGTGTTCTTTGCCTTGCGCTTCATGTTAGCTTGCGACGGCTCGTTGTCGGAGCAGAGCACCTTCCATATGCACCAACGGTGTTTCGCCATCTATAAAAAATTGACAGATCCCACGTACAGAGGGAAACGATGATATGTGAAGCAGGAATGAGAAAGGTTGACATGTCGCTTCAAAATCAGCACAATGTCGCGAGGTGGAGGTAAATGGTACCGCACATGACTTAATTCCGGTACCATGATTATCATGTTTGGGTGTGCTGCTTACCTTCGTCATTTATTCACGTCACGTGATACCAAATTTACTATTTGTGGAGCTAGCGAAACGACCGCGAGCACGCTATGAGCGTGGCATGATGTCATGTTCTTACATGACACGTCTACCATGATTATCATGTTTCCACCAGTCCTATACCTTCGTCATTTATTCACGTCGTGCACGTAACACCAAATTTGGTATATGTCGAGCTAGCGGAACGGCCTCGAGTGCATCATTAAGGGCCCAGTATACTGCAACGTAACGTTGACGCACGCACTCGCTAAACACAGCGACGCTACGTTAGCAAAACGCGAGCCCTCTATAGTCTGACACCAAGCGCGACTGGCACGACCAGCGTCCATCGGCACGGCCGGACGGCAACCATCACGATATGCGGCATGCTGCATTTGGCGCCAATGCGTTACCCAGACAGCACTGCGCCTGCCTCTATTCGAGACGGGGGGACGCTGGACGTGCTGAAGTGCGCACGCGTCAAAGAAACATAGTGCGTGTCTACATGCTACGCTCATGATGCGGTCGCAGCCGTTCCGATAGCTTCACATATATCAAATTTCATATTACGTAACGTGAACAGACGACATAGGTAAATGACGCATCCAAACATGATAATCATGACATGCATGTCATGTAACAACATGACTACATGCCACACTCATAAAGCGCTCGCGGCTCTTTCGCTAGCTTCACTGCCAAATTTGGTATTACTTTACGTCAATGGATGACGAAGGTATGTGATTGGTGCCAACATGATAATCTTGAAATGCGTGTCATCATGACTACAGACCACAGTCAAGGCGCCAATACACTTCGACGTGACCAGGCACACGTGCTCTCCGGCGTTCTTTTCGTCGCGTCACGCAGGCGTTGCCACGCCAGGCGCCGGTCCTGCCATACACTCGCAGGCATGTTGCTACATCACACGCATCTCACGTTAATCATGTTTGCACCAGTCTCATACCTTCTTCATCTATTCACGTCCCGTAATAACAAATTAGGCATATGTGAAGCTAGCAAAATGGCCGTGATTGCATAATGAGCGTGGCATGAAGTTATGTTTATACATAACACGCATCTCATGATTATATTGTCTGCATCACTAACATACGTTGTTCATCCATTCATGTCCCGTTATACCAAGTTTGATATATGTGAACCAAGAGAAATGGCCGCGAGTGCATCATCAGCATGGCGTGTAGTCATGTGGTTACATGACAAGCATGTCATGATTTTCTTGTTAGGGTCTGCCGCTTGTGTTTGCCATGCAATCCTGTCATACCATACCAGTTTTGCATCATGTCATGTGAACGAAACCACCGCAAGAGCAGCAAGCTCATGAATTGTAAATCGTGATATTCATGACATAAATGTCATGATTATCATGATATGACTTGTCAAATATGCTCGTATTATAGTCATGTTATGCCATACCAAGTTTGGTGACGATATAAATATTCAAATGGCCGGGAGAGCTAAAAGTTGTAGGCGGCTTCATAGATAGATAGATAGATAGATAGATAGATAGATAGATAGATAGATAGATAGATAGATAGATAGATAGATAGATAGATAGATAGATAGATAGATAGATAGATAGATAGATAGATAGATAGATAGATAGATAGATAGATAGATAGATAGATAGATAGATAGATAGATAGATAGATAGATAGATAGATAGATAGATAGATAGATAGATAGATAGATAGATAGATAGATAGATAGATAGATAGATAGATAGATAGATAGATAGATAGATAGATAGATAGATACGCTCAAAGTCACCGAAGTTCACCAAGAAATTCTTCGCATTTAAAAACTATGGACCATCTCCCCGAAAGGAACCATGGCGAGATGCGAAGCAGCAATAATGCGTGTGGCGTTGACCCAGTGGAAACGGGCGTTGACGCAGGTGCTGGAAGAATGGTTTGAAGAGGAACATAATGTAGCGTTTACTCGAGTAAACGTTTGTTTGAAACGAAAGGACGCGGGAGGCGGGACACGTTGAAGACGCTTGCGCTCGGCTTCCTTGGCTCACGTCTCGTGGGTGTTATCCGCGCGCCGTCTGTATCCCCAAACGCAATAGGTGTTCTTGACTCACACCTAGTCGGTGTGGCTCTTCTTCCACTGCCGATGCTTGCGTCCGGTTTCCCTGGCTTTCGCCTCGTTGGTGTTGATGTCGCCATTCGCGAACGCGATCGGCTCATTTAACCCTCGCAAAGCCGGCGACAGCCGAAAAAGGTGCGCGCAAACAAGCGGGAAGCATGCCGCGACGGCATCCCGCCCATTTGCGCGATCGCGCGGCAAGCGCGGTGCGCTGTCCACATTGTCGGCGCTGCGAGATTCTCGAGGCGCGCACACCAGCCGGCTTGCGGCTTCTCGCCCACAGAGGTGGCACTGGTGAGATGATGCCCACGTGAGCAGTGGGCTTGAGCGTTGCGAGTTGCGGAAAAGGTGAAGCGATCGAACGTTGCGAGCGGTGGAGAGGGTGAAGCGAGAGAGACGACAAGCGGCGAGTGGCAACAGGCTAGGAAAAAAGTGCCGTCCAAGCGCTTGCACTGCGAGATAAGGCGTGACCTACTTGGCACCGCCCCAACACCTGCGGCCAGGGGAGTGCGGTGCGGACTAGGGGTCAGCGTTGCATAGGCTAATCAAAGAGCTGCTTCGCATCTAAAACTAGCCCAGATTGTCCATATAATTGCTATCGCAATAAAATTTTGGGACGAGTAACAACAACAGAAACTACAGTGAATTTATGGCGTAGTCCCCTCGCAAGGAAGTGCTAACACTGAGCAAGGTGCCCGTGATGAACGAAACTTTAAGTAGACCCGTGACCTGCTTTGCATGCAACTCATGGTTCTTTTAAGTTGGAGATGGTGTAATTTTTGTTACTCTTCCGGTTCTTTCTTTTTCGCCTCCTATCTTTCTTGTTCTTCTTTTGAGCTTTTCTGCGTAGGCCGGGCTTCAAATTGCTTCAAACTATATTCAAATCGAGGTACTCGAAGAACGAAAGGCTAAGAAGTTCTCTTTGGCACGAGCGCGCGCTGCAGATGGCTAGACTACTGTAAAATGCCGAGCATGCACCCTCTCCTTTTTTTGGGTAGATCTGTAATAAACGCGAATGACCAATCAAGCGCTCCCTCTCCTCCTCTGAAGCCTCTTGAATCTGTCCCGGCAAGATGTCCTGTGCTTCGTATCTTAGGCTTGAGAAGCTGCTTTGGTAAACACGGTGACTCGACCATTCCCCGGGTGT